AGTAGGATGTCTTGACCTCCGTCGTGACGTCCGCAGCTCCTAGTGTTCGCGTAAAGCGAGGCTCATAACCTCAACGGATGTGGCGTCCTGCAGCAGCGGAGGTGGCAGTGCTGCTGTAGCTCGTAGACTTTGTAGTCTACCACAGAGGTTACACTGCTGTCACCGCTCTATCACAGAGGTTGGTCTACACTGCTGTGAGATCGAGGCCCGAGCGAGGTCTGGAAAGAGAAAAGTAGATAGATTTTCTTATCAACTGACTTCCTGGTCAGGCTTTGATGGGTGCTAGATGAGAGTGAGCACAAGGGGCGAAGGCGCGCTTGTGTCTCATCTCAACAACAAAACAAAAACAAAAAACAAGCAGCAAAAACACAGCAGGTTCCGAGGGTCTCCGGAGTNTGCTGAGTACCATCTCTTCTTTCTGTATTATGTCTACGGAAGGCTAGTTGCCGCAGTCGCACCTATGGTAAACTGTGCCTGACTACGTTGTAACAGTTTTCCTCGATAGTTTTTTGGTTTATGGGACGCAAATTCGACTCCCTCATATGTCCTCGCGCATGGTACATCTTTCTCCGCAGCATTCCATTGGAGGCTCCTACTTTGGCTGGGGTTGGCGAAGCCAAGCGGTGCAACGATTGAAAAATCAGACGCACGTCGGGACGCTCGCGACTCCCGAAGCACGCAGTCAAGGGGAGAATGGTCTACACTGCGAAATACTTGGACTGCTACAGCAAGGGTGTCTTGGGCGGCGTGTCCTCAGAGACGAGCAGGGGGCGAGATCGGAGGAAGAGGTACGGTGGACAATTGGTGTTGCAGTATTTCGAATCCTCGCCCCCACTCTAATTGTAAACGATAGGCTTTCGTAAGCAAGCTCCTGCGGAATCGCCCCGCGCGTCAGCGCGAATTCGAACCCACCCTGTCGGGATGTCGTGCGTGACACTCTGTCGGGTCTTCTGTCCTTCGGTGTGTTCGACGATCAAGCCAAGTCGTCCTTTTGCTGCAGGCATTGGCGCGAGGTTACCTTTCTTTTCCCCATGGATGGTCGGTCGAGGCGTCTACGTTGAAGTAGATGGGTATGGTTTCCTCGGGCGACGCCGTGCGCATGAAACGCTTGAACGGACTCGGGTACCAACACTAACCCGCCAACTCTTGAACCGCTTACACCACTAGTGCTGCTGTCTCCTTGCCACTCGACAGGTGTTTGTGCGTGGTGGTCTGTTGCTGATGTGTGGGGATGGACGCGGGCGCTCGAAATGCCTAGGCACGAAGGCTCCGAACAACTGTTCCAAGTTCCCCTGCTCCTATTGCATGGTGAGCCAGTGCGACGACAAAACCGGCGGGGATGTCGGCAACCCTCGTTCGACATCGACAAGCACCGGCGCACTTGGGGCCGGACGATGGACGGCTTCTCCGAGCTGGAAGCGCTTGCGGATGATCCCCTCCAACAGGAGGAACGCTCGAAAGAGTTGGGTCTGGTTGCACCGAACGCGTCCGGACTCAAGTTACCTCTGTACCATGCCATGCGCATTGTTCCGGGGGACCACGTACCCGTCGAGCGTCTGCACTTCGACGCGCTGGTGAGCGAGCATGATGTTTATCCTGCGTGTGAGAGACCAGCTGGACTCACCCCTTTTGACCAAAACCTGGACCTAGAAATGCTATGGCCGCCAGAGTGTGGGCTCGCGAAACCGTGGACTTCTGAATGCCGTTATTTCGATAACCCTGTACACTTTATTGGCTGAGTGCAACCCGCTTTATCCTTGCTACCCGTTTTCTCCTTGCTTGGCGGCAACCCTACCTCCGTTTCCACTCTATTTAGGGGCAATGTCAGCTGTGCCAGGTTTTCTGCTTGGAACTACTCTCGAAGAAAGGTCGCCGGATAGTCTCAGCCATCATGGCTCAGAAGTCGTCTTTGCTGTACCCACCCGGCACATACAAGCTAAAGGATATCCTCNTGGAACTACTCTCGAAGAAAGGTCGCCGGCGAGTCTCAGCCATCATGGCTCACAAGTCGTCTTTGCTGTACCCACCCGGCACAGACAAGCTAAAGGATATCCTGACGGACTACCCATCTCTCACTGGGAGCGACAAGTGGACGCTGCAATCGATCATGCTCCTCGTGTTCCGAGTTGTGCTGCAGGATATCCCGTCCATGGTGAGATCTCAGTGTGACGTTTCGCGCCGACCTAACCCAAAGCACTTGCCGCAGGTACAATCAGTGTGGGTGCGTGTGTGTGTGTTTTTTTTTTTGTTTGTTATCGATAACCGCGACGAAGAATCGGTCCCGCCCGGCACAAATCATGCAATGTTGTTGCGCACAAATCGTTGAAGCGTCTTTTTCGAGGATATCTTCTTGCCTCATTTGTCGCAACCCCTCGGAGAACTAACCCCAAGCTGTTGAATCCCGGCATCCCTGCCCTCTTTGTGTAGAATTTTAACGATCATTTTTGTTTGTGGCCCAACGAAATAGATGGGATAAAGCCCGTCGGGTTATTTGTTGTGGTGCTGGCTCGGACTCAGAACGAAACGTAAAATATAGAAGTATTATCCTACGGAGGACACACCGCCGTCGTTCTCGAAATCCTCAACGCTTTTCTCGACAACACTTTGACGGCTGTACTTCGAAAACTCCTTACACGGAGCAGTCACGACCGCCTGCTCGCACGGATGGCCGAAACACTGTGACACGCCCTATATGGTGCACTATTCGGCGACAAAAAATAACCACGGAGCTCTCAATNAGCAGTCACGACCGCCTGCTCGCACGGATGGCCGAAACACTGTGACACGCCCTATATGGTGCACTATTCGGCGACAACAAATAACCACGGAGCTCTCAACGCCTTCCCCGCGCGCGCGTTCGATTCTGTCGCATGAATCCCGGGCATGTTCACCTGAAGAGGAGAAACATGAAGAAGAGGGACATGAAGGCGTTTAAAGCGGAGTGGGGAACGTACGAGTCTGTGTTGGACGCGCTACGGACGCTAATTCAAATGGTGTCTCTCCTGTCCTTCGCCCTCCGCGCGCCATCAAACAACGACAAGGAACTACGACCACTCGACAACCTCGCGCGTGACGCGTAAGTTTGGTTATTCTCCTTTTTTTCTCTCTTGCACGAACACAGCAGACCGGGTGTAAAACAGAGAGCGGAGACGCTGGCTGTTGCGTGATAAACCACTACACATCATGAACGCAACACGGAGGGCAGTAGTGTTTCGGCGCCTGGTTTTTTGGGGTGGTGGTGGTGGTGGGGGGGCAATTCGAAATGGAATGGCTCTCGATGCAGCTCCACAAAATGTAGCGTATTGGCCACGAAAATTGTCCCCGACAGCTTCTTCATCTCACCGGACTCGAACCCACTCCGAGTTTTGTTGNGGGGGGGGGGGGGGGGGGGGGGGGGGGGGGGGGGGGGGGGGGGGGGGGGGGGGGGGGGGGGGGGGTAATTTGCTTTGGAATGGCTCTCGATGCAGCTCCACAAAATGTAGCGTATTGGCCACGAAAATTGTCCCCGACAGCTTCTTCATCTCACCGGACTCGAACCCACTCCGAGTTTTGTTGGGGTCAACCTCAAAAACTGTAACTGGTTTGCACAATGTAACAAAGAACAACTTGTGGCGCAAAATTATACTCGCCATTCAGGTCGGGGCTTTCTCGCAAATGATGGGGAGGACGGGATCCAGGCCTACCATCCACTCCATGCTGCACGCCGTAGAAGCCGTTCATCTGCACGGTGAGAAATTCCAAACGAGTTGAGCAGAGTCGCTGTGGCCTCTCTGGAGAGCA